GCTAATTATTCAATTATGGTTTGTAATAATTAATTAGCTAGAATAGTTAATTAGTTGTTTTGTAATAATTAGCTTAGCTTAGTCTAGCTTAGCTTATTTATTCGGACCCTCCTTCGAGAGGGCGCAATGTTGTAATAAGCGTGCGTGTGTGTGTGCATGTCTTCCAACCTATTTCTTTCTCCCTTTTACTTAATTGTTTTCGATGGTTAGATTAGGGACATGTTTTGATTAGCATACCTTATGCTCGCATGTTTGCTTCATTCATTTATCTTGTATGCACCGAGGCTCGGCGCATCATTCAAACTGCATCATATTTCAATACTTACTTGAATACGTGTATCAAATTGTTACATTCATATGCCATCTTAGATAGCCGAGCCTATTAATTGCATTATTGCATGTGTTACATTAGGCATCTCGCATAGTTAGGATCATGCATATTTCTAACTAGCTTTTGTTTTGGCTTGGAGTACACTGTAAGTTTTATGCTTTAGCATACTTGCATGAGTGTGAGTGTTGCCATGATAGCATGTTTGTGATGAGGCTATTTGCTTAAATGCTAAACTACATGAATGCCTGTGGACGAAGGCTTTGTTGCCTTAATTGGAACAATTCAGCGAATATGAGTTTTAAGCCCACTTTGCGAAGTGGCAAATCATGTTTTAAGCCCATCATGTTTGATGGCAAATCCGCGCTTTATCCCACTTGCGAGTGGCACTTTCAAACCATTTTCGAAGGCAAACATGAGTCGAATTCGTTCCAATTCTCGCGATTTTAGTCTACACCTGCTTGTGTGCGTCACATAGTAAAGTTAGCTGAATAATCGAAATAAGAACACATGTGTTTATCAAACAACATATCATGTTTAATAGAGGCCGATCCTTTGATCGGGCGAGCGGGGTTGCTCATGTCATGACCTTCCCCTTTCGTACCCAAGTTCCCGAGCCGAGGCAACTTTGGTGATAACGGACACGTAGCCTTTGGCACGAATCAAGATTTCCTAAATTTCCCAAAAATAAAATATTTAGGTGGCGACTCTATAATCTGGCAAAGCAGTCCAGTTTTTGGCATTATTTGACTCAAAATCAATTTTCCAAAATAATTTGCCGGATTGGACTCTTTGGTGTTTATTGGTCTCACATTGCACTTTGTGAGATTAAATTTGGAACCGTGACAGGAGTCCGAACTGTAGGAGACCAATTCGCACCTCTCCGAAAGGGGGGCATGCGAAGAAAGTCAAGTCTACAGTAACCAAGGTAACTGATCAATGGAAAATGGGTTGTTTACCATCTTTATGGATGAGCTCCCAGACTCAATGAGTCCTAAGAGCCTGTTTACTCTGTTTAATAATTTTGGTGTAGTTAAGGATGCTTTCATCCCAGCAAAAAGAAGGAAAGCAACGGGATCAAGGTTTGGTTTTGTGAGATACGATTGCAAGGTTGCTATTAAAATGGCGGTGCAGAAGGCGGATGGCCTGTGGTGTGACAACAAGGCACTAAAAGTAAAGAAGGTAGAATTCAAAAAATGTGAGATTTAGCAACCTACAATGGTAACCAGAGAAAGCGATAGGATGACGCAGCGTCAACAGAGGAGTTTCATGCAACAAAGGATGGAAAGTGTAGGTAGAAGATCTTTTGCAGAAGTATTATAGAATGGAGGTAGTGTTGGAAAGGCACAGCTTACTGTGAAGGCCTATGAAACTAGAAATGAGTGGCTTTATAACTGTATAATAGTCAAACTTAAATCTCTTCTATCATTCAATGAGTTTAAGGAGGAGGTTGCTAGAAAAGGTGCAAAGGATGTAAGAGTTAGAGCTGGGGGAGGAAGGCTAGATGTGCTAACCTTCAAATCACAACAACATAAAAATGAGGTAAGGCCAAAGATAGAAGAGTGGATGGTCCACTGGTGTAATTTTGTTACAAATTGGGAGAAAGGAAAATCCATTGCACAAGAAAGAAGTGTGTGGATAACATGTGTAGGTGTTCCATTCAACTTGTAGAGTGTTAGTACATTAAGAGACATTGGCAAGGTGTGGGGTGAGGTTGTTCAGTTAGCTGAAGATATTAACAATCAGAGTTCTTTTCAGTGTGGGAAGGTAAGAATAATCACCAATCAATTGGAGTTCATAAATGAGGTGATTAATGTTAAATGTAATGGAAATATTTTCCCAGTTAGAGTGTGTGAAAAACTCCCAGCAGCAGTACAACCATGTCATTGCAAAAGCTTTTTCTTGGACAATGTGGGCACTGAATCTATAGGTCAAGAGGAAATAGATCAGCTGTCAAAAAATGGTGGGAAGGACATGGTGGAGAGAGTTTCATGGGCAAAAGAGAATAGTAATGAGTGGTTGTCTGCATCAGCTGTAAAAGAAACTATGGGTGTCATGGGTAATCCAAATGTCAGAGATGTATGTAGGGAGGCTAACCAGGTGCATGTGGAAATTCCAATAAATGAAATTCAAATTGTTGAAGGGCCTATATGCAACCCTGAGATCATCCGAAGCACTAGTGGGCCTGAGACTCCAAGGCCCAAGCTAAACTTAGATGTGATTTTGAAAGTTCCTTAGGATGGGGTATTGGCAGCTGGGCCCATAACTGAACCCTTAAATCTAAGTGACTGTATAGCCCAAACTCAATTTAGACCTCATGCTCTGCTTCCAGCCGTAGAAAAGGGGGTAGAAATAGGAAAAACATCAAAGAAAGGGCAGATTACAAAATCAAAGATGAGCAGAAGCAAGAAGAAAGGAGCTGACCTGAGAAATAGGGCAAAGCTTAGTCGCAAGCAGACCAAGCATAAAGGAGCAGTGTCCAACAACTATTTTTGAAGAAGAATTATCTTTATAGCAGCAGCAGCTGCAATATCACTGTCAGTTGAGCAAAGTATTAACTCAAGGAGAAGGAATAAGTTCCTAAGTGAAGCTCAAGCTACTATGGAAGTTGGCAAAATCCTAAGTTTGAATTGTGAAGGTATGGAGCAGGAGGGGATTAGCAAATTAATTGAACTTGAAAAGAAGGACCTGAAGAGAATTGATGGGAAGGGCATTACTCCTTAGGCCAAGTCAGGGAAAAGAAGAGAGGGATTTGGGACCTGTGAACAGTTTCTGTATGATTATTTTATCCTGGAATGTTAAAGGTCTGCGAAGACCTGAAAAGAGAAGAAAAATTAAAAACTTAGTTAGGGAGAGAAAGATTGATGTCCTGCTGCTGCAGGAGACAAAAAAGAGTAAAATAGATTAAATGTTTCTTAAGTCATTATGGCCATGAGAGAAGCTAGAGAGCATGGAGGTGGGGGCTGAAAGAAGTGCTGGTGGTTTGTTGTGCTTGTGGAATCCACAAATTTTTGAACTAAAGGAGTGTTGCAGCAACAGAAATTTCATACTTTTATCAGGTATGGGTCTTTATACTTTTAGTTGTGTGATTATAAATATTTATGCACCCAATGATGTGTTGAAAAGAAGACAGTTATGATATTCTCTAGCCCAGCTTAAACCAGCTTTCTTAAGTCCCTGGTGTATAGGTGGAGATTTTAACGAACTAAGATTCATGAGTGAAAGAAAAGGATGCTCTAGAAGGGAAAAAGGGATGAAGGACTTCAATGAATTCATTGATAAGTTGGAACTGATTGATATACCAATGCTAGGCAGAAATTTCACTTGGTGTAATGTGATGGATGGAGATAGATGGAGTAGGATTTATAGATTTCTACTAGATCCTAGGTGGCTGGAAAGATTAAAGTTGAAACAGTGGGGGCTGCCTCGAAGCATTTCTGACCATTGCCCAATACTCCTCGTGGAAGATGAGCGGGATTGGGTTCCAAAACCATTTAGATTCATAAATGCATGGTGTTTACATCCTAAATTCAAAGAAGTAGTAAAGAAATGTTGGGAAGGAACACAGGTCAGTGGGTGGGCCAGTTATAAGCTATTGAAAAAGTTAGGAAATCTGAGAGTACATCTGAGAAGGTGGAACTGTGAAGTGTTTGGTAACCTTGATGAGCAGCTGAAACAAGCAGAAGATGAAATTCATGAATGGGATTTAAAAGCTGAAGAAAGGATTCTCCAGGATTCTGAGATTAAAAGAAGGGCAGGAGTTAGAAGTTTAGCCTGGGATTTGAGCAAGAAAAAGGAATGGTTGTGGTATCAAAAATCTAGAATGGTTTGGGCTGAAAATGGGGATAAAAATATCAGGTTGTTTCATATAATGGCAAGTAAAAGGCAGAGGAAAAGCTTATTAAACTCAGTTAATGAGCATGCAGTACTGCATGATCAGCCTGGGATGATTAAACAAGCTGTGGTAAGTCATTTCAGTCAGTTGTTCACTGAAGGATGGAGGTGTAGACCAAAGTTGTCAGGTGTTTTTGCCTCACTTAGTCAAACAGATTCGACTGAATTATTGGAGGTAGATTTTTTAAAGGATGAAATTTGGGAAGCAATCAAAGACTACGATGGTAACAAAGCTCTGGGGTCAGATGGTTTTAATCTAAAGTGTATCCAAAAATGCCAAGACATCATGAAAGTGGAGATTGTGCAGATGATGTATGAGTTCCACTCCAATGGTAAATTGGCCAAAGGAGTGAATAGTTCATTTATTACCTTAATTTCCAAGAAGGAAAATCCTATGGGGTTGGGTGATTATAGGCCAATCAATTTGGTTAGCTCTATGTACAAAATAATAGCTAAAGTCTTATCAAGAAGGTTGCGGCAGGTTTTATACAAGATCATTAGTGAAGTTCAAACAGTGTTTCTTAGTGGAAGATTTATTCTCGATGGGGTCCTAATTCCCAATGAAGTGATGGATTGGTGGAGAAGGTCAAAAAAGAAAGGAATCATCCTAAAGCTGGACTTTGAGAAGGCATATGACTCAGTAAATTAGGAGTTCTTGTATTCAAGGATGACCAATTTTGGTTTTGGTGAGTAATGGGTGGGGTGGATGAAAACTTGTTTATCTACAACTAGAATATCAGTGCTAGTCGATGGATCACCTACATCGGAGTTTTCCCCCATGAAAGTCCTCAGGCAAGGTGACCCACTTTCACATTTCCTCTTTAATACTGTAGCTGAGGGCCTCAATATTCTTATGGAAAAAGCAAAAGAAGAGGGCTTGCTTAGAGGAGTAAAAGTTGGGCCAAATGAATTGATACTATCACACTTGCAGTTCGTTGATGATACTACTATACTTTGTGAAGCTGATTGGGAGGAAATTGTTGCTGTGAAAAGAATATTAAGATGCTTCGAGTTGATGTCAAGTCTCAAAATAAATTTTTATAAAAGTATAGTGTATGGGGTAGGTGTTCGGGATAATTTAGTGAAGGTTTTTGTAACAAAACTTAACTGCCTTAGCCAAAAGTTGCCAATGAACTATCTGGGGCTACCATTAGGAGCAAATCTAAGGAGAATGAGTACATGGAAACCAATGGTGGATAAGTTCAAGAGCAAGTTAGCTTCATGGAAGAAGAGGTATTTGTCTTTTGTAGGAAGATTAACTCTCATAAAGTCCGTTTTGTCCAGCTTGCCAATCTATTTCCTATCCATCTTCAAGATGCCAGTGGGTATTGCAAAATCATTAGACATAATTCAAGCCAATTTTTTGTGGGGAGTATCTGAAATCAGGAAAAAAGTGCACTTAGTCAATTAGAAGGAGGTTTGTCTAAGAAAAAATCAAGGTGGGTTAGGTGTGAGAAATCTAAGTCAGGTTAATGAATGCCTACTAGTTAAATGGTGGTGGAGGTATGGCAAGGAGGAGGCAACTTTGTGGAAACAAGTGATATGTCATAAGTATGGAGGTCTAGGTGGTGGATGGTGCCCATTTTTGTCTAGTCCAGTGTGGCTGTCGCATACGTGGAAAGATATAATATCAGTGGCTGTAGTTAACACTGCTCTGCGTGATTTCTTCTTGCAAAATTTCAGGTTAGTTATTGGAAATGGTAGAATGATGCATTTTTGGACTGATAGGTGGTGCCATAACCAAAATCTGAGTGTGTCTTTTCCCAGATTATTCACACTATCAATTGATAAAGATGGAAAGTTGTTTGATTTTTTTCACCGAAGAGTGGTAGATTCAGACTGGAATCTGGTTTTCAGAAGACCCCTTCTAGCATGGGAAGAGGAGGAAGTGGAAAAACTTAATGATCTACTGCAGAGTACGCCTAGGCTCAATGAAGGGGTGGTAGATTCTTGTGCTTGGTTAGCCCACCCGTCTAAAGAGTTCACTGTGGCATCAATTTGGAAGTGGATGGAAGCAAGTCAAGAGGTAGACTGTACAGTCACTAGGTGTATTTGGAACAATTTAGCCCCTCCCAAA